GCGCACCCTGAGAGGACACGGGGTGGGGGGCCATGTGCCCTGGATTTGCATGGGATTATGGGGTTGGGCCGCCACTGCAGGCCGGGGCCGGGGCTGGGCTAGGCTTTTCCCAGAGCAGGTGGGCTGCACTTAGGGATGTGGGGCCACATTTGGGGCTGCGTTCCTGGTGCATGGGGGCTGCGTTCAGGGTGGCTGGTGGCGGTGCTGGGAGGGGTGTTACAGGGGCAGGGGTTTCAGTCACCCCAAATTTTGCCATAGCCCCTCTCTAGCCCCCTCCCAGTGCCGCCACTGCCTGCCCCAAGCACAGCCCCTGCGTGCCAGGAAGAGCCTGATGCAGCCCCGGCCCCAGTCTACAGCTGCAGCCTACCCCGCCCCCTCCCTTCTGGGGTGCGCACAGTGGCAGGGGGCCCACCCCCCCCCCGCCCCCCGCCCCGCAGGTGGGGTGCAGGGTGCCCCGCAGATGAGTTGCAGCTCTAACCCAGACCCTGCTCCACTCACTCCCTCACCCTAGGGGGGCATTGATCTGCCCCCCAACACCCTTCCCTCCCCCTTCCCCTTCCACCACAACAGGCTTACTAGCTGCATGCAACTCTCCACGCTGCTGGACTGTGCTCTTCACTGCCTGTGTGCTGTGCTGCGGCTGCGCAGATGCATGGCCAAATTATCAGCCACATCAGGCCGATTTCTGATAGAATCAATTTTCTTTATATAGGTGCTGATCCAATATCAGACCAATGTATCGGTGCACCTCTATTAAAAACTGTTAGAAAGGGAACTGAAAACAATACAAAACAATGTCATTATGTCACTATATAAATAAATAGCAAGCCTATACCCTGAATACTGCACACAGTTCTGGTCTCCCCTACCTCCAAAAGGATACCCTGAATACTGCACACAGTCTTGGTCTCCCCTACCTTAGAACTAGGAAAGGGACAGAGAAAGGTAACAAGGATGAAGTTTCCATATGAGGAGAGACCAGATAGGCTAGGACTTTCTAGTTTTGAGAAAAGACAATTGAAGGGGGAGGGTATGCAGCTGAGTCTAAATTCATGAGTAGCATGAAGAAAGTAAAAAGTGGTATACTATTTATCACGTCTCACAATGCTAGGTCTAGGGGATATAAAATGCAATTATTAAGGAGCAATTTTAAAACAAAAGTGTGTGACTAACGTGTGGAACTCATTCCTACAAGGTGTTGTGGAGCCTGACAATCTAAAAAAAATAGACAAATTAATGCAGGATATGTCCATCAGTGGGTATTAATGACAGCTAGGGGTCTGAAATTCTAGATAAATTCTAGATGGTATTTTTATTTTTCCAGCAATGCCCCAATCCAGCAAACCACTTAAATGTGTGCTTAACTTAAGCATGTGAGCAGTCCTACAGAAGCTAAGAGGACTTTTTACCAGTTTAAAATTAAACACTTATTTAAAGGAGTCAGGTCTCCAAGGAAACAAGTATTTTCAGATGTCAGAATCAGAGCAGAAGGATGCCAAGGTTCCTGAATATTGTTATAATTATAACTATTTTGTCAAAATTATTTTACAATGTAGGAGAGTGAATTCAGATTATTATATGCCAAATTATGACTCCTTACAAAAAATCATCAAAAAGTATATTTCTTTGAAAAAATACTCTGATTTGTTAGAACAGATGAGCATGACATAGAACTTTTACTCTTATCAATGTATTTCCTGTTAAGTAACATTGGGTCATGTTCTGAACAACATATCAGATTTTCTAAAGCTTTGTTCTTTCCTAGATTCCAAGAGATGACCCTGGATCCTATGTCCCTTGGGCTATATCTCCATCTCAGTAAAAAAAATTACACTAAATAGAAGCTGATAATTCTGAGAGAGAGCATTTTTCACTGAAAGAAATTCCAGATGTGAGCAATCAACAAAATACTGAAATTAAAATCCATACAGAGCTGTTCTTCGGTTTTAAACACATTTTCTATTTAGCCATTGCTAATTCATCTTAACAAACACCAAAGATCAAGGTAGTAACTAGATTCCTTACACTAAAATCATCTGTGAGCCCAGACAGCACATTTTAAATTAAGAGCTAGTGAGCTGAAACAGTAACCATAAATATTTACCTTACACTATTATGATGCAATTAAAACTAATGAATTCACATTAATTAACTCATTATAGAAACTGCATGCATGTCTTTCAGCACATTTCTTACTTGTTCTGGTCTAAATCAGTTGAATAGTTCACAATTTAAAGCATGATATATAAAAATATAAATGGTGAGAGCTGGGACAAACAACTTGCAGCCTGAGTTGGAGATGATAAATTGTTCGTGAGATATGGTAATCAGCACATTGATAAGAGGTGCATTTAAGGTGAAGCCTTCCTAATATGTTCTTCTCATATTTAATTTAGATAAGGAACTAAGTTAAGCCCAGCACAAACAGCCATAGTCCAGGTATCCAGGCTTATTGGTGGTGAGGGGTGGAGGATATTTTGCCAAGCCTGCTTTTAAGCAAATTAGGCATTGCACATGTTAAATGTAGGAGTGCCCTCAGCTCACCCATGTGCCAAGAGTGGGCTGCTACACTCAAGGCTGTGGTGTTCCCTGGGGCAGGAGGAGGTAGGCAGGGGCATGTAGCAGCTGTGGAGAAGAGGAACTGAGGTGCAGTAAGGCTGATACAGGCAAGGGCCCTCACTTTTACTGGCCAGTGCTTCCAGAGACGATGTCCTTGGGATAGATCTGTTCCTAGCAGCAGGTGGGCTGAAGGGCTGTTGTGGGAGCCAGGCCTTTCTTGTCGTTACTGTGTCATCCTGTGCACTAGTGGTGAGCAAATCCCTGCCCTCTTTCCCCAGTGCTCATGGCATGCAGCCACTGGTGTGAACTGGGGGCTGTATATGGCAGTTAGATCCTGTCCTGGGGTGGTTTCACATATCTTTCTATTTGATTTTTAGTTTTAAATTATCTCAGTAACTATCATGCATTCCCTGGGCAGCTGTTGCAATGTAGTAACTGGTGGCAAAGTCAAAATCCTAGACTAGTCGCTGCCACTGGTGAAAACTACATCTTGTAGAGCAGGGAACCTAGGGCCACAAAACCTAGTTTTGTGTCACCTACCGCTCTTTTCAATTCACTATGTATTGTTATATGTGTCTATCATTCTGTGTATTAACATCCTAATAACAAAATGAATATATAGTATTCTGTGAATAATAGAAGTCTAATACTTTGTCACTGCAGCTGCATTGTAACCTCTCCTTTTTTTAACTTCCTTTTCCCTCCATTTATATGGTCCTTTGTTTTGCAAAGATTCAGCATGTTATTGCTAGGTAGGTGCTTCAATGGGAGCCACTCCCAGGAGACTTTAAACTGTTTCTCACCCTTGTTAGACTTCAGGAAATGTTTTCGTTTTTTGACCATGGAAAAATATTAGAGCAATTCTTCTGTTGCAAAGAGCTCAGAAAGACTACAATAGGTTGAAATGTTGTCGACACCAGGGTTTCCTAGATGAGATTTATGGGTGCCTATACACAAGCACAGAGGCTGCTTTGATGCGATAGAATTCCAGCATGTTGCAGCAGACTCAATTAATTGAGCCTGCTGGAGCATAACAATTGCTGCACTGCAGCAGCCTCTTGTGTCTTGTGTATCAAAGTCCCCATGCTTAAAAATGTTAGTGGGAGTGCTTGAACTAAAGGTTGTTGAACAAGCTTTAGTTCAAGTGCCCCTGCTGCCATTTCTAAATGCGGGGACATTGATACAGAAGACATGGTGGCACTTTAATTAGAGTGGCTCTCAGAACCACTCTAATTAAAGCGCCGCCCTCCTCCTCCCCCCACACCCCACCTTCCAGGGCATGTGTAAAAGTGCTCTATGGGTTTATCTTGCAAATCATGTGCAAGTGTCTGTACAGTACCTGGGTTGAAAATCACAGCTTTAGACAAGGGTACGTAACTTGATGCATAAGTGCCACAAGTGACATGAGCAGCTTGTGTGTATGGCACAGCAGCAGACCGGGGTGGGGTCGGGCTGCACACTGAGAGATAGGGAGGGAAGAAGAAAGCAAAGCAACACATTTGCCAAGGCACACAGGGAAGGAAGAAGAAAGAGCAGCAACAGATCAGCAGGCAGCATAGCTTGGAGCACAAAGCTGAATAGCAGATTGGGCAGGGAAGGGGACTGGACTGGCATTTGGGGAGGATGTGGGGCTAATTTGTATCATGCTGGCCAAAAAGGTTGACCCCCACTGCTTTAGATACTGATATAGTGTAGCTTTTGATATCTTATTCCCATAAGAAGAACAGTAACTCAATGAGTAGTTCAAATTATTTCAGTGGGACTTTACTGAAGAAACCTACTGTTCGGAGTGACTAATAGTATCATGGTTTCGTTCATCATATATTAATTTTTAATATATATACTGTATAGTGTACAACATTAAATAAACTGGCTTTAGAGATGACTCATACTTGTTATGTATGCTATCATAATGCAAAATATATTAAATGTAAAACAATAAAGTTCTCTTTCCTGAGATTGTTACAGTGTATGTTATTCTCTCACTCAGGTTGAATCTGTGGAGGGTAAACAGTTTACTTTTAATGGGGAAAACTTAGCTTCCTTTTTCTTACTAGGATTTTGAAGTATTTACATTGCTGTTTTCACTATATTGCTATCTTGCCTCAGACCTGAGTGACTCTTTCTTTTACTAGCTCAGCATGGGTTGGGGGAGTTAGGGATGGGCAGCTAAAATTAAGCAGAAATCATTATTTTCATGTCTCAATTAATAAAAGAAATGTATTGCAGTGTATAATATAACAACATTCACTAACTTAACTCCCACTACATACAATAAGAATAGAGGGCACTGGATTCAGGAGTGCCTTAGTAGGGAGAACTATTAGCTCTCTCCCTTGAGTGGCTTTGTACCTATCTATTCCACTACAGATGGGTGGATTCCCAAAGTAAAAGATCCAGAGATTCTTCCTTCCACCATGGCCATAAAGAGGCATGGTCATTTGACCTCTTTCCTAGTTTCTTCCCACCGCCTTTGGCAAGAGTTGAAGTTTCTCTTTCTTTCCTGAATAATGGTTTTCTAGCTTATATTGTTCCTGTATTTTCTTATAGGTTTTTTTTAGTTATTTTCTTTCTTATAGTTTTCTTTATTAATACAAGGTTTCTATTTTTTTTTTTTTTGGAGTTTAAAGCTTTATGAGTATCTTTCCAGGTTGCAAATAGTGTGCTGCATATGGGGCATGTATGACTGCTAATGATTGACACGTGTCTATTTTGCCTTGGGTAAGGACAATCAAGAGGAAAGTACTAAATCTGTATAACCTTCGTGCTGTGAACTAACATGTAAATGGAAATTTGTTTCTGGCAACATCTTCTACAGCAAGCTATGAGACCTCCCTGTGCTCCAGGATGATATGCTGCAAAGAAGAAATGCTTGTCCAATTTATGAGTTTTTTATTATGAATTCTTAGCCTCTTGTAGCTTCCTTCATCTTTACCATACGACAACATTTTTGGTGCCCAACAGTCGGGAGAGTTTTTGAATTCTAGGTTTTAAAGTCAGAATAGCCATAGACACTTCACCAGGACTGCTTCTGAAATTTTTGCTTCAGATTATTTCACTTTCATTTAAGCCATGAAATAAATGTATTCATATTTTTCCCAAGCCTCATTTTCATCAAGATAAAGTACAACTTAATTCCTTGGATGTTTGTGATGCCATGTGCTTCTATATTGAGAGGATGAAGCACTCCAAAGTTTCTCCAAGCTTTTTCATCTTTTTTACAACAAGATTGAGATGTGAGGCAGCTTTAGGTCAGTGATGGATTACATTCTGAATGAAAAAAAACTTGCTATGCTTTAGATAATAAAACTCCTCCTGTGATGATAGACCAGAAGTAATATCATCAAGTTTTCTGAATGATGTCCTGTTAATAAACATACATGGTGACTATACAGTCTTTACTGCATCACCTTTTCTGAACAGCATGAAGTAGCCCAAATTTTCTAATCTGACGAAGACTTTAGAAAGGCAGTCCTCCACTTGCTGTCCCACAAGTTTTCTAAGCTTCACCACCTTCATGGACATCTGCTTCGGAATCTTCTGTCATGGAACAGTATGCATACAATCATTTACACTGTAAATATTGTTTTTAGAGATGCATTGTGAATACCCCACACCTTTCCTTTATTCTCATGTCTTCAGAAGTCTGATAACAAGCTTTGGATGGAAGGAAGAGAGGAATATGTAGTGACTATGCCCTTTCGTGGCTTTATATGCAAGCCTGAGGACAAGCAAGACACATGTTCTACACAAAGAATATAGATACCAGAAACCTACAGCTCAAGTGCTCTGTGTGCATATATACCATTACTAGAATGGTGGTGTACACAGTGCATCCAGAAGAAGAGTTGTTCATAAGGTAAGGTTATTTCCATTGAAATCAATGGGCCTTGTTACATATTAATTTTAGGTGGCTCCTGGACTTTTTGTAATGGGCAAGGAAGCTATTACCCTGAAATGAAATAGTTCACACATTCAGAAACTGTATAAGACAAAGGAGCCATTGTTCTAAAGAACAATGGTCACGTACTCAGGAAATGTCTGTTGCTGTGCAATTTTTGCTAACGCATCATTATGTAACCACTGCTTAACTTCCGCTTAAAAGAATGTATCGGTTAAACAAAAAAATGCAACTGTAAAAATTTGTGAAACACCATATAAGGAAATAACCTCCACAAGTATTGCTTATTTGCTAAACCTGTAGTCTTGCCTTGTTGTAAAAAGTATAAAAAAACGCCCCACTCTTCAGTCGGGACCATTTTGCCTCTTTGCTGGCTTATGGTCATTTGCTCGAGCAAATAAACTGCAGTTAAGCCTTTACCCGTGTTACCTGGTTCCTATGCGGCTGAACAACAAAGTCCAGGGAGTTTTCTCCCACAACATTTTTAACCCCTGGATTGTCCACATATTACACCTGAAACTAGTTTTAAGTACTCTTTAACTGGCTTAAAGTCAGGGTAGGTTTATCTTTGATCCATGTTACCCAGTGTCAGAACCCATTAATTAGATGCCTATAGCACAGAGGAGAATTGGTATAGCCCAGAGGAGAATTGGTATAGCCCAGAGGAGAAATGACATAGCACAGAGGATTTTAGGTTGTAGTCGATACATATGGCATAGTTTTGCTGTCAATCATTCTGGTGGCAGTAACTAGGTCATGGAGGAAAATTCCGCTATGCCTGAACCCAGTAACCAAATGCTTCGGGTTCAAAAACCCTTCGTCAGGCTAAGGAGGTTTCAGCAGTTGGTGTGTGCTCTTCCTGGATGGAATGAAAAGTAAACAAGCCAGGGGCTGGGCTGGGCTGGGGAGTCAGTTGCCAGGCAGATTATAATGTATCAAAAATCCAATGTCTACGTTTAGTCCCTGACCTGATCTCTAGTATCCAGGAGGTTGATGAAATGGAGCTCATAGGCTCATCTCTGGGATGTGTTGTGTAAATTTCCCTTGAGGATCAGGACTGAGAGATTGGAGAGAGAGTGGCGCTCCTGTGAGAAATGTGCCCCCACCGGTAATTGGGTGTTTCTGTCTTTGATGGATTTCCGGTGTGCATTCATTCTGGTGCGCAGTTGTTGTCTGGTCTCTCCTACATATCTTCCATCAGGGCATTTGGTGCATTGGATGAGGTATACTACATTCCTGGAGGCGCAGCTGTAAGATCCTGGGATGCTGATGGCTCTGTTGTGGGGTGTAGTAATAGTGGAGATGTGTCGGCAGGTTTTGCATTTCTTGTCATGGCACGGTCTGGATCCTTTTGGTGTGTTCTGGGGTTGAGGAAGTTTGCTTCTGGTGATGAGGTTGGCGAGGTTCGGTGCTTGTCTGAAGGCTAGGATGGGTGGCTCTGGGAAGATCTTTTTAAGAATAGGGTCTTTTTCTAATATGGGTTGCAATTTTTTGAGGATTTTCCGTACAGGTTCAAGGGAGGGGTGATACGTCATAACCAGCGGTGTGCGATTTGTGGGTGTTTTTCTTCTGTACTGCAGCAGTTCTTCACGTGGTATCCAGGTGGCTCTTTCAAACGTGCGATCTACCTCTCTGGAGGAGTGTCCTTGCTGGGTGAAAGCCTTTTTAAGATTGGTGAGGTGGCAATCCCGGGTGTGCCCTTCAGTACAGATGCGGTGGTATCTGAGGGCTTGGCTGTATATCACTGCTTTTTTGGTGTGTAAAAAAAAAAAAAAGGTAAAAAGGTTGGCATACTGTGGGGCCATTTAGTGCCCATAGCTGTTCCCATCATCTGGAGGAAGTGTTGATTATTAAAAGTGAAATTGTTGTGTGTGAGGATGAAGTGTATAAGCTCAGTGATATCTTTGGGCCTGCACTTTCACAGCACTGAGGACAGCCCTGCTGAGCACCAGTATTAACTAACAGCAGTGCTTCTGGTTCAGGACGTAACACACACAGAACAGCACCATGTGTTTGAAGGTGTCATCATCTGACACAGTATATTTGCAGA